ACCTGCCAGGCAGGGAGGGACTCACCCAACAGCAAAGCCTCATAGAACCGGATGAAGATGAGAATAATACAAATGACAACTGCAATTAATAATATGGTTCAAATAACACTCTTTGCAGTATACTCAGCTGCTTAGAAGACAAAAACTGAGAAGACATTTGGGAAAGACAAAAACGTGGGGTGGAGGTGGTGCTCATGAAAATTTTGCATGCTAAACATAAGTAATGCTTAACAACTTCAAATTCTTAATCACACTTTAAATTAACATCTAGAGAGCTTAGAACTATCAATGTGCAAGGTGTTTTATTAAGGCTATAGTGAATACGCAATTTTAAAGTTGCTAAACAAAACAGCAGGGGCCTCTAGCAGTTATCAAAAGAAGCCACAAGCAGAGGCGCTTTTTGATGATGACCACAATGAAATGGATTCATGAGAATCAGGTTGAATTGAATGCTCTGATACACGCAGTAGCGTTACTTACACGCTTGATCTTAGATCAAAGTCCTAGAAGCGATGCTGCAGCCACCACAGCCCTTTCTCTCCTGCTAATAAGTTTTTCTGAATGAAAGTCTGTGGGACAATACTTTAAACATAGGGCGCATTTACAGAACCAACAGTAACAAGGAACTTAGAAAAGCTAAAGGCCAGGGGGAAGGCAGGAGGTAACCAGACAACAGAAGGAATTCTTTTTTTGGCTGAGCCAGGGATTGAACTCAGACCCTTGGGCGTGCCAGGGAAGCGCTTATTCCACTGAGCCATCTCCCCGGCCCAGGAATTTTGATAATCAGAAAATTACCAAAATTTCAGACAGGCTTGCAAATTAAAAGTAAAACTACTTTCCATTGCTAAGACACTGTAGGGACTAATAGGAAATCTGGTTGCGAAAGGTGGCTTGAAAGTGTTTCCACATTTGAAACTTAAGGACTAAAGAAGAAATGGGTCTGTTACGAGCCCAGCGACATTACCATGAGCAATTCTGACATACAACTAAGAAATTCAAGTCTGTCCCTGTGCAGCAGTTTGGAAGTGTTATCACAGAAACCTGGAACTCTGGAACTCGGTGGGATATTTTCAACATAGGAAATATTACTGTAGAGAAGTTAATTTTGAAAAGTAACTGAAATGTATCACATGCTTTTATCAAAGCCCACATTTAACAGTCAACTTCCTCAGACAAATTCTCATAAGATTATCATTACATGAAGATAATCTACAAGATAAAATCTACAACTTTAGGTAATTTACCACTAAAGTGAATTGAAATAGTGCGCCTATACCAATGAAGAGCTGGACTTAGGGAATTCACAATTTTAGCAGTTGGCAACACATAAGATACTGATCAAGTTCAGTGTTTTAAGACCTGAAAGATTCACGTAATAAAAAGCTAAAAAATTTTAACAGAACAACAAATAGGACTGAATTTTTTGTCCAGTTTTACATCGTTAACACATAAGCCAGCTGCTCCATTTTCTTTTCTTATTCTCTTCTTTTCTTTTGAGACAGGGGCTCACTATGTAGCTCAGGCTGGCTCTGTAGCCAGGCTGGCCTCAAACTCATAGTGACCCTCCTGCCCCACCCAGCCTCCTGAGTGCTGGGATGACAGGCATGTGCCACCATGCCCCACAAGCCACCAGTTTTTAAGACATCTTCAAGGTACTATCGGTTCCATCTTTATATTCACTATTGGAGTTCTATTAGGTAACAACTCAGAGAAGTTTACCTTATTGATATAAAATTGCGACAAGGTAGCAGCATTAATAGCCCACTCCATAGGATGGTAGGCATTGTGCTCCAGCT